ACAACAACACAACAACACACACACACACACACACACACACACACACACACGTGCACGCATTAAAAAATAATAAAAATCTCGTTAGTAACACAACATGTACATGGTACTTTTGATTACATTGTAATATACTTTCATTTATATACATGAGATCGATATAGATTGTAATTAACTAATTGTTCGTTATCCATAATTTCCTGACTTTGTGTCCAAGCGTTTCTAAATTACTGCGACAAAGCATCGGTGTTGCCTTTGATGTGCAAAAACGTCAGCTCCAATTTTACATCGCGAATTCCCATCCAGCACGTTTCTCTATTGCGTGGCGCCGGCATAATTTAGAATCAAGAGAGTTATATGCGGACGCGGATCGATAAAGCGTTCATAAAGATTCACTCAGGAAATGTTCGGGCGCGAGATAATCACGGATAACCGATACGATTACGTATCGTTTCCAATTTTGCGAAATGAAGCCGCGCGATTTTGCTTCTATCGTCTCCTTTCCGGAATTCTTTCCGCGTATAAGTCCCATTTCACCAGATTCGCAAATAAAATAACGTATCGATTTCCTATCTTGGGATGCATCGAGCGTCAAAAAGTACAACTCCCGGCTGGTACCGGGAACGAAATAGTTCGCTGCTCTAACTTCATTACACAAGTTTTAATTCGTTTGCTGAGCGCGCCTACCCTCCCGCTAGTTTTCGCGTAACGCAAGGATCTGTGTGGAAGTTACCGCCGTAAAGTTGCTCTCGATACCTTATCTCGGTGCCAAAAGGGGTACGCATTATAAAGAGAGAAAGAGGAGAGAGACAGAGAGAGAGAGAGAGAGGGAGAGAGAGAAAGTTTATACATCGACGCATCTACATCTTGTTTATTCATTAGATTCTCCGTCAGACAAATATCGAATTCCGCCTTCGCAGAATTATATCCTTCACCGACTTAATAAATTCATCCACGCAGAATCCGAGTCTATGTCCCAAGATTCAATGGACAAATTTTACTTCTCTTCGCGCATTCAAAGTCGTTTACGTCATCGTTTACGTCATATCCTACGTTAATTTACAATTTTTCTCGTATCAGTCTGTCAATCTCATAGAAATTGACTAAATTTATAAATTATATCACACGTTGGAACAATACGCAATTAATATACGCATAATTTAATAAAAGTAATATCGGTCTTTGTATCAATCTCGTGTTATATATAAATTTTGTAATTCTCGTTTGTGCGATTATTTATAGCTTGAGGTCATTTTAATTAAACGTATACGATGATACCCGTCATATATATATAACAATTTCCACGCAGATGGCGAGCAGATAACAATAGCAGAGAAATCATATTAAAATAATGATAAATGTCTAAACGAACTAAGAAAAGTTAGTACATATCGTCTGGAAGAATAAATATATAATCATGATTGATATTCACTATGACGCTGTAACAATAACAAATATTAATGGAATCCTAATAAATCGTGCAGCAAATCAGCGATAATTGGAAACACATAAAAATAAAACTTTAATTAATTTTTTCAAACGCTAAAATTAGCCTGTAATCAAAATTATTTTGAGCACAGACGAAAAGATGATGAAAAATTTAGGATATGCAAAATATAATACAAATATCGTAATAAAAATAAATCCTCGTGCAGCAAAAAAAGTTAAATTCAATAAAAACTTATTTATCAATAATCATAGAATTTAATTATCGTGTCGAATAAAATTTGATAATAAACATATTTTCAAGACACGATTGATTTTCGATGAGTAATTTAATATAAGAATTTCAATGTAAATGCAATTAAAATATGTTTGAACTGAAAATTCAAATATGAATTTAAAACGAGAATAAAGGAAGCTTTCTTTTGTATTCATTAATGCAATTTATTTAATAAAATATATATCTTTGTCTTGATGGAAAGTTATTATACGTGCATAATATATCGTGAAAAAATACTTGTAGCATGAAAATATGAAAGTAAAATTGCATCTCTAATCAGAAGAAGCGACGAATTGGAGCAGCTTTATATTAATAACATACGGAAAATTATAAATATAATTAATAATCGAGCAAACAAGTTGTATACCACAAAGATCAACGTTCAAAGATCAACGACAAATTAATACTTCAATAAATCGTTTTATTTATTCGGCAAAATCAAAACTTCATATCGGCGATCGTTAAATGTATAAAGAAATTGTTAAATATCGTTTTACTTCCGTTCTGCGCATTCTTGTTTAAATTTTGACAATTGTATGTTAAATACAGTTAAAAATAGCATATTTTAAAACATACATAAAATACATATGTTAAGCGGATTGCAACACTGAGTGTTTCTGAATATAGTTCCTTTTTTAAAAAATAATAATTTCAAAATAAATCTTTTGTTCATTATTCTCCTTTTTATCAAGGGACAACAATTGTAGCTTGTAAAACAGTGCATGGCACTCTGTGTTGCACTCAAAGTTGAGGGTATTGCAAATACCCTAACTCGATAGCGCGCGACACTAGTTAAAATAATTACAAAAATCTTAAATGGCTCCTGGAAACCTTGTTATGGAAATAAGTTTTCCCATTATCGAACGAAGGAGAAACAGAGACGTCTGCGATATCTCGAATAAGAAACCTCACCTTTCCCGATTCAATTCTGTGTTTTTCTTTGTAATACAATACGTGTCAACGGATCGTATTTGCAGCTGCCCTATACACATATACATATATACACATATATACGTACATAAAAACACACACACACACACACACACACACACACACACACACACACACACGCACGCACACACAAATAGGTATTATAGCAATTGCGCAGGCGTCACCGCCCGTGAGCTTTTTGCGCGGCGAGATAACGCCAGAGGAGGAAATTTCGCGAGAGAGGAACGCACCGACAGTCGGCGCCGAGCCGTTCTCGCGTGACTTTGTATTCGAGTATTTCGTAGCGGGACGATGCTCCCCGCTTACGGTTTTCGATCGACTGCGACATAAAAAGCTGCGCTCGTTGAAATTTTGCCAAGTGAAAATCACGGCAAAGGATTCGACAATTCGTCATTTCCAAAAATCGCGAGAGGATCCATGTGCCCGCAGCATGGCTATCATGCAGTCCTGTTGCTGTTGGCAATCCGTACGCAGAGGCAGTTATGCCTGTGCCATTTACACCATAGTAAGTATCGTGATTTATCTTGAATGCCTGCGAATGGAATGAGTATGCAAGAGTTATGAAAATGGAAAAGGAAAATGAAATTTGTACGTATGTATGTTATTTTCCGTATACTTGAACAGATAGAAACTTTTAACTTTCCTTTTTCTCTCCGGAAATTTTAAATATTTTAGGAAACGTATACATAAGTTATTCTTTGTATATTTATTTCAACATGAAATAATGTGGAAAGTTTTAACATTTTAGAATATTTTAGTTATTGCTTTTTTTTTATATATAAAGTTTATATAAATTTTAGATTTGTCTTCTTCAAAGAGTTCATAGGAAACCGATAATAATAATATTATTATATTATTTAATTAATTAAATTATAAATAATATTTTATTTTTAATCGATTTGTGAAAGAAAAATTTAATAAAATGATATTTTTCAAAGTAGAATATTAATATGTACAAATCTTCCATTTCTCGATATTAGAGTAATAATATTTTAATAATTAACAACATCATTTATATCGCTATTTTGATTAATAATTTTTATCCGATAAAAAAGGATAATAATTACATCTGTAATGATTGATTCTTCCATTCTTGCGGCAGTCTGCTGGACGAAATAGTAGTACGAGTCAATAATAAATCATACGTTTCACTTACATAATAATTAATGATTATAACGACATAAAATTTCAGATTTTTGTCTTTGCAAATAAAATAAGAAGAGTATTATAATAAAATAATTGGATTATATTATTATTTTATATATATATATATATAATATTATTTTCTTATCAATATTTTTTATGAAAATATGTCAAAAATACTGACACTACATATGTATCATAGCAAATATACGCACAATTTTATGATACAATTTCTTAGTGTTATGAAATTATGTAATACAATAAGGAAAATTTCGCTAACACATTTTATATAACATAACATAACATTCCCACAATGTTATATCAAATTACTGAATGTACATCTACTGAAATCAAATGCAACGTTACTGTTCATCAACGAGAGCATGCAGCAACGAGAAGCACTCTTAAAGCACAACAAAACGTGACTGTATAATAATAAGTTTTGCAGTTACAATTACCGTGATGACCTCATAACACAAATATTTCAAACTTCGTAATTTTTCTATCAAGCATGTCTGTAATATATTTTCACAACATCACAAAATATTTGAAGAAATTCATGAAAATATAAAACGTGTCTTAAAATTTAAATATGTTTCATAAGTATATCTCCATTATTTACTAAATATTTTTCTTGTTAAATAAATATCTAAATGACATTTAATTGTAAAGAAAGAAAGAAAGAATTAGTTTTTGTATTTGTAAAAATTTATTTATGCAGATTTGTAAGCCTTATAAAAGCCTTCCCTTAAGCCTGATAAAAACTAAAAATTGTTCTTAAAATAAAATATGCACAATTACACAGCACAATAAATAATAATAGAGATTGTGACAAGTAATTTGTAAAAATACTAAAATCTAATGAAATCTTTCCGAGAAATATATTATATTCGTCATTATATATGCTATTTTTTGGAAAATAAAATAAAAAAGTCATATAAATAGATAAAAATAATTAATTATCACAGTTAGATGAAGTACTGAAGATGAAATACGTGGGAATATAGTGCGAGATAGTTAACCCAAATTATATTTGCTATTGTAGATGTAAATATAGCGCGCAATATCGGACATTTTATCATTAATGCAATCAACAGTCTATTAATAATATGGAACATTTCATTGCGCAGAACATGCACTTCAGTTGCATCATTGAATCGAGTAACAATTATTGATCAGCACGTTCTCTTGGGGATATATCAATTCAACCAAAATGTATACATATCTATGATATACATATTATTACGTGCATGCGTCTATATATATATTTTATATAGACGAAGATTTATATATATATATATATATACGACACATGCACGTTACACATATAT